ACACTGATATTTTATTTTCAGAACGAAGAGAAAGTAAATAAGTGTTAGTTTATTATAAAAACGATTTAGCTACACAGCATAATACGGGTTTGAATCACTCTGTACCATTACCATACTTTTTTAGGATTCTCAGTCTGTCTTTGGTGAATATTTGCTACTCCATGACAAGTAGGTTTTAAGATGTTATTTTAAATATAGAAATTATATATATACATAATCACCCAGTAATCTTGATTACCTGCTTTCTTTAAAGTGTTATTACCAACAATTTCCAATAGTTTGGAAAGAGCATGTTGTTATTTTCGTTTGTAACTCAATTTCAAAACTTTATTTTCCGTTAACACAACGTGGGGCAGGTTTGAAATAAATACAAAGCGAACCGAATATGCAAAATGATGTTAAGATTTGATCAAATAATTTATCAAGGCACTAATTTGTAAAAAAATAACCAGTGACTTAATTTTTGTTTTCAATAAAATATAACAATAGTGAAAAACAGTTTTCACCTGAAAATCAAGTATTCTAATTAACAGATTGTTTAACATTCAATCCAAAATAAACATAACAATTACTACTGTGAGCATCCTATTTCAAACCTTTTCACTCTCTGTTGTGAGTATCCTATTTCAAACGATTTCACTCTCTGTTGTGAGCATCCTATTTCAAACCTTTTCACTTTCTGTTGTGAGCATCCCATTTCAAACCTTTTCACTCTCTGTTTTTACGGTTATCTTCGTTCTATCTACCGCGGGGAATCGAACCACGGACTTAACTTTGTAAATCCAGAGACATTTTTTTCACAAGTTTTACGTGTTTTGTTTTACTTCTTATTCTTGTTTTACTTTTCGTTGAACTTGCTGTTTGCTTATTTCTTCTGTTTGACTTAAAATATTGTTATTTTTTATTCTAACTACAGAGTGAGGTAAAATGTTTAAGATCAAGAAGAAAGATACCACAGTTCCGCAGTCGAAGAAGACTGTCGTTACAAAAACATATACTGAGGTAAGTTGAAAAACAATTCAGCAAATAAATGAATTGAGACTCATAAATAATCTTGTAAAATATTCAGTTTTGTTTCGCTTCTTTACATCGCGCACTGTGTTTTAAATATTATGAATAAAAAACAAACTAGTGGAAAACACATTTGAGTGTTTGGGTTAACATACCGTATTTGAAATATACGGGTCTCGACATTAAAAACGATGTAAAGGAAGAATAACTGTTCATTAAATCACTACTAGGAAGCTTTTGTTTACGATTTATTGTAACGTTCTGTTTATTGGCAGTTTGGAAAAAGAAACCCTGACTCTCAACTTAGTGACTAAATAACAGGTTATGTGTGTAACCCAAGGCCGTACCTACTATTTCTGACCTGTCACTGTCTCAAGCTTAGGGTCAAAGTTTATTATTTTGTAGTGATACTATATAGTTAATATTATGTGTATTTTAACTAATAAACTCAGCCTTTATTATTAAAGAGTTAATAATATGTGTGTATTTCAACTAGTAAACTCAACCTTCATTATTAAAGAGTTAATAATATGTGTGTATTTCAACTAATAAACACAACCCACACATATTATTAACTCTTTAATAATGAAGTTTATTAGTATGTTGAAATACACATATTATTAACTCTTTAATAATAAAAGTTGTGTTTATTAGTATGTTGAAATAACAACCTTTATTATTAAAGAGTTAATAATATGTGTATTTCAACTAATAAACACAACTTTTATTATTAAATAGTTAATAATATGTGTATTTCAACTAATAAACACAACTTTTATTATTAAAGAGTTAATAATATGTGTGTGTATTTCAACTAATAAACACAACTTTTATTATTAAATAGTTAATAATATGTGTATTTCAACTAATAAACACAGCTTTTATTATTAAAGAGTTAATAATATGTGTATTTC